TCTCCCCCTCCTTCCTCCCCCTCCCCATGTAGGGTTGTAGCCAGAGCTGCCCATGATACTCAGACGTTCTGATTTATTACCCTTGGTACTGATTTTATTTAGGAAGCACTCCTGAGGCTGTGAGCCTTGGCAGAGGGGGCCTGGGCTCCATCAGAGGAGGTCGTTTCCCACTGGGGTTGCCCGGCTGTGTTGAGACCCACCTTCCTCCCAGTCCCCCTCTAGGCTGTTGACCAGGTGATTCCTTCCACCTGGAGCCCCCCCTCCCCTCAGCCTGTTTGAGCCCTGGGCACCCTTTAAAATTCTGAAGGAGGTATAGCGCCCCCATGCTCTGGGAAGGGGAGATGGAGGTCCCGTTTGATCCAGGAGGCCTTCAGACCTTCCTGGGATTGTGGTGGCTGGAATCCCAAGGCTGGGGCAGGAGGCAGCCGGCTCTGGAGGCCCAGAATCAGCGCCTCCCCCGTGTGTTTTTTTTAAACCAGTGTGATTTTTCTGCCGTTCGTTTATTACTCACCATTCGTAATATTTTGAGCCAGGAGAGCGCCTTCTCTCTCCAGCTGTCACTGCTCTGGTAGTTCAGGGGTAGCTTTTCAAAGACGGGGCGGAGCCTGGCGGTTTCAACCAGAGGGGAGGGGGTGTGGTCTGTGCGCCCCAGCGTGATCCTGCCCTCGGGTGTCTGCACAGCCTTTATAAAGAGAGAGAGCGTGCTCCAAAGCAATAACATCCAGAGGGTGGTCACCGAGGGCCCCCCTCAATGACTTTCTTGTTTGTTCTGTGAATTCTCAGCTCACCTCCTGGAGGGGTGGGCTGGGGTGAGGGCTGGAGCCCTCTTTCTTTGTATCATCGTTGTGAGCACATGGCCACCTTCCAAGGGGCCCCGACCATTTGGCGTGGGAACCACCGTCTGTCCTCACCAGGGGATGGGGGTTTGGGGAGGGGTGACTATTCTCATCATTAGCTTTGGGGAACCTTCAAGCCTGCTCCTGTCTGATCCTTTGCCAGCTCAAACTCCCCCATTTGGAGAAGAGCAGAGAGGGTGGAGTTGGGGGGATTAGGAGTCGGGGGGCTGGGGTCTCCAGGGGACAATTCTTTTTTCAATCCTTGGGCCAAAGGTCACATGCAGGGGTATGGTGGGAAGGAGTCATCTCCACTTTCCTTCTCCAGAATCTGCCTGTCGCACTAAAGCGAAAGGGGCTTTGGGACCATTGGTGAAACCATTTCCATTTTACAAAGAGATCCCAGGCCTCTGGGGTCACCCGTGAGTTTATGACACCCCCAGCCGGGGCTTCCTCTTCCCACCAGAGGCTGAGCTGGAGCCACCATTTCCCACAATATTTCCTCCGCTCTCTCTGTGTCCTTCTCCCAGGGGCCTTGGAGAGATGGGCAGGGCCAACTGTAGCCCATCTGAGAGGGGAGGAAACTGAGGCTCAGAATCAGTAAGTGACTTGCCCAAGATGAGACCCCTCAGCAAGTGAGCCAAAACCAGGGCTCTACTGTCCCTCCTTTGTGGGACAGAAGACCGTCGCTCCAGGGCACATCTGCCATGATAAATATTTGACCTTGAAGCCCTGGGCCACCCAGCCCTGCTTGGTTCCATCTTGATGGGCCAATAACTTTTCTGGCCCCGGGTTTGGAGGAAAGGGTTGCCATAGAGACCTCGCTCTCCTGGGGTTCTGGCCTGACTAACTGAGGCTGTGCAGGATTTGGTCCAGGCCTTGATGTCTAAGTGGGGACTCCCGCCAAGGGGCCACAACCCCTCCGAGACCAACCTGAGGGAGGCAAGACACTGGTTCCTCCCTGGGGCTGTGCGGGAGTGAGCTGGCTGTGGTACACCTCATCTTAGGGAAATCCTCACCAGACCTTCAGATATAATAACAGCTGATCTTCCTGTAGTGCTTTTCAAACTTTTTTTGTTTTCAAAGTGCTTTTACCTTGCGTGTAACCTCACAAGAGCCCCTGGGCAGTCGGTGGGCACCTGTGTTATCAGCCCCATTTTACAGACGAGGAAGCTGAGGCCCTGAGAGGGGGAGGCACCTGCTAAGGTCCCACTGTGAGCTGGTGGCTGAGCCTGGATGAGAACTCAGTTCTCCAACAGTTCAGAGCTCTTTCTTCAACGTGGGGTGAAGCAGAGTTGAGGTCATGCACTTTACAAGCTGATCCGCCATCCAGCTCCTTATATCAGGAGCTCACGGGCACAGCTCAGCGTTCAGAGGCACCTCTGAGCCCCGCTGCCCTTGGAGCACGGCTGTTGCGTCAGGCAAGGCCACCTGCATTTATTTATTGAGCAGCAGCCCTGTGCCAGGCCCAGGGGACTGGGGTGCCCCACCTCCATCCCCCGTTGCCCTGTAATGACTCCTGTGGGCTCGGGGAGGCTCTGTCTGCATAGCAGCATCTCTTGAGTGGACGGGAAACCTTCATGTCCATGAGCTCATCTGACTCACAAACACTGACAGGGAGGCACTGACTGTGCCCGTTTGACGCATAGCTTCTGTGAGGGCAAAGTGGAGACTTGAACACGGGGCCTCAGGCATCACCTCTGGAGCCCTTTCACTCTACCACTGCCTCCTGAGGGGTGGCAGGAAAGCAGGACCCCTGGTCCTCAGGCCCACTCTCCACTCACTCACCTTTCCCCCCTTCCCTCTTTGGCAGCAGGAGCCCCTCAGGCTTTTGGGGAGGGAGGGTTTCCTGGGCCCCTGGGTTGGAGCGGGTCACGTTGCATTGTGTTCATGACCATGTAGCTCATGTTGAAAATTAAAGTTTTTGGCTTTTCTAACGTGGCTTGCTCTGCTGTGTGTCGATGCCCTTCTCTCTGGGACACTAAAGGCCCTTAGTTTTAAGGATCTGAGTGCTCCGGGATGTCAGCTTTGTTAACGTCTCCTTATGGGGCTGGGGCCTGGCCCAGGAACCCTCCCAGAGATGCATAGGAGGGAACAGGGTACTGGGTGAACCCAGTCATTTTACAGATGTGGAAACTGAGGCCCAGGGAGGGGATGAGACTCCCCGAGGTCACACTGTGGGTGATTGGCAGTACCCAGGTCTCACAGTTCCCAGAAGAGGCTGTGGTCCAGGTGTCCCCGTGACACGGGTGTCAGCAAGGCCCCCCCTTATCCCAAAGTGGGGCTGGCCAAGGACAAAGAGCATCAGATTTGGGGGTGGGGCCAATTCCACTCTGCGCGCCGAGTAAGAGAATGGGTAATCATTTAAATAGTGCAGAGATTTGCCCACTGGTGCACGCTGGACCGTAAATGTTGCCCTTCAGTCCGTCCGATCCCTGTGCTTCTCGTAGTGGGAGCAGCTGGCCTCACTGGTAGGATTCCAGTGTTGGAAGTCATGCATTTCCCCACAACACGGAAAGCCCACCTCTGCACACAACAGAAAAATGGGCACCTGCTTCCGTTCCGCAGGGCCAGCTAGGGACATGGGCCTGTGGCGAGCCTCTCCTCAGTGGCGGGTGTGGCCACGCCTTCTAAAACAATTTGGATCACAAGTGGTTTGCACCTACAGGGCGAGTTTAGAGTCATGCTTGTGCTTATGATGTGACTTTAATACATTTTTGGAGAGGAGGGAGGGGCTTGCCACAGAAGGAAATGAGAAACTACTCGTGGCAGAGGACGGCATTGAGGCTACGGCCCCTCACCCCTCTCCGAGGTCTGGGGAGGGTCTACTGACAGGTGAATCCAGACCCTCCGGCTCTAGGATCGACCCCCAGCCAGGATAGGGCTGTCAGATGGACTTACGCCGGGCCAGGGGCCTGCCTGCCCTGCAGCCGCCGCCGCCGCCTCCAGCCCCAGGGCTTGCGGGGGTCGAGAAGCCCAGATTGTCGCGGGCCCGCAACTCCAGCTGGTGGATGCGGTAGGAGATGGAGGTGGAGCCGGCGCGGTGGGCGGGGCGGCGGAGCAGGGCGGGGCCTCGGCTCTCGGGCGTCCCCCGGCGGAGCGGGCGGGCAGCACGCTCGGGCGCGTCCGCGCTGGCCGCCAGGAAGCGCAGGACCACCAGGTTGAGGAAAGCGCCGATGACCGTGAGCCCCAGGAGGATGTAGAGGAAGCTGAAGACCACGTAGGGCGGCTTCCTCTGCAGCGCCTCGTCGTTCTGCAGCGCGACGAAGTCGCCAAAGCCGATGGTGGTGAGGGTGATGAAGCAGTAGTAGTAGGCGTGGAAGAAGGTCCAGCCCTCGAAATGCGCGAAGGCGGCGGCCCCGAGGGCCAGGGTGGCCGCGCACACCAGCAGCCCGGCCACCACCATATTCTCGGTGGACACGTGCGGCCGCCGCAGGCCCAGGCAGCGCTTGGCCGCCAGCAGGAGGCGCCGCATCAGCGCGTTCAGCCGCTCACCCAGGCTCTGGAAGGTGACCAGCGTCAGGGGGATGCCCAGGAGCGCATAGAACATGCAGAAGACCTTGCCCGAGTCCGTGCCCGGCGCGGCGTGACCGTACCCTGAAGGTAGAGAGGAGGGGAGGGTTGATGAGGGTCCAGCTCCATCTCACACTCTCGCCCGCTGCCGGGTCTCTCTCCCCATCCCCCATAGCCGGCAGAGCATCTTGAAATGCTAGTTCGAACTAGGTCGTTCCCCGGCTTTAAAACCTTACATGGTTACTCATAAGCGACCCAAATTGTAAACAATCCAAACGTCCCTCAGCTGGGGAATGCATAAACAACTGTGGTACATCCATACAGTGGAATTCTTTTCAGCAATACGAAGGAATGAACTACTGTTTCCTCAGCAACAAAGGATGGGTTTCAAATGTATTCTGCTGAATCAAAGGAGCCAAGCTCAGAAGGCTACCTATTGCATGGTTCCATTTAAATGACATTCTGGAAACATTGTGGTAAAACTATAGGGACAGAGAACAGATCTGTGGTTGGCAGTCCTCAGAGTTGGAGGTGGGGTTAACTAACTAAAAAAGGGCATGACAGGGGACTTCCCTGGCGGTCCAGTGGTTAACACTCTGCCCTTCCAATGCAGGCAGCGCAAGTTTGATCCCTGGTCAGGGAACTAAGATCCACATGCTGTGCAGACAAAAAAAAAAAAAAAAAGGCATGACAGAATTTTGGGAAATGATGGAAATGTTCTATGTCTTAATCGTGGCTGCAGTTACAAGACAGGTTTTCATTTGGCAAAATCCGCAGAAGTGTACGCTGAAAAATAGTGAATTTTAATGTCTGTAAGTTGTGCCTTGAAAGAAAAAAAAGCAAAATCTTTTGTGTCTCCCCAGTCCCCACAGGGTAAAGTCCCAGTTCTCAGGTGATGTCCAAGCTCCTTCATGATCAGGACCCCCCTCACCTCTCCAGCCTCACCCCATTTTGTTTCCCCAACCAGTATGTCCTTTTCTTATGGGTCCCCTCCCCACCACGATCTTCTCCCCCTGTCCCAGTCCACGTTTCCCCTCCCAGATCCTGCTCCAAGCCAGCTCTCACAAAACACCTCTTCAGTCGGGTGGAGCTCCTCATTGAGTCCCCTCAGCCGTTGTAGGGGACGTAAACATGAGTGGGCTTCCCTGAGTCTTGGCACACCGTGCTATCACCATGGAAATAGTGGATATGTGTGTCTTCCAGGATTGAGAAGCGAAAGCTTTCATGGTATTTTCAAAGGGTCCCATAACCCAGGAAAAGTCAGGTGGCCCTTCCCCAACAGAATATGCCTCCTGTAGCAAATTAGCTCCATCTGCCAAAATGTAAATACACCTCTGGCCTGTGCAGTTCCACACTGAGGAAGGTAGTCCTCCAAAATACATGCACGTGCAAAGTGATGTATGCATGTGAGTTGTCGTTGCAGCACTGTTGGTCATAGTGAAAACTGAGAAACAGCCTAAGTGTCCCATCAAAAGCAGCCTGGTTAAATAAGCCACAGCGCCATTCAGACGATGGCTGTGGTTCCCACGGGGGGCAATTTTGCCCCCCGAGGGCACAACTGGCAATGTCTGGAGACATTTTTTGTTGTCACAGCTGGGAGGTGGTGGCTGTGTGCTACCGGCATCTAGTGGGTACAGGCCAGGGTCCCGCTTAGCATCCTTTGGTGCACAGGACAGTCCCCACAACAAGAATAGCCAGCCCAAAATGTCGCCGGTGCTGAGGCTGGGGGGCCCTGCTAGTCCGCCATGGAAAAGAGGACACAATTCTTCAGGGACTGATATAAAAACATCACCAAAATATATGAAGTGAGAAAAGCAAGAGGCAAAACCGCATGTGTAATATAATATAACATGTTTGTGTGTGTGTCAAAGGAATATATGGAGAAGATATTTGGAAGGATCCTCAAAAAACTGATAACTGCATTTGATCCAGGGAAGGGATCCAAGGGTTGAGGGACAGGGAGAGAGGGAGACTTCCTTTTCATCCTATACCTTTTGTACCCTGTGTGCATATATAACATTGGAAATGTCAACCATATATATATGTGTGTGTGTATATATATATATATATATATATATATATATTTAAAGATCTATGGCTCCACTGCCATGTTTTTACTTTATGGCCCTATCAGTCTGCCTCTATCTATTTGGCGGCGGGGTGGGGGGGGGCTCTGCTGCCACTAGACCACCGTGAGGTCCGTGAGGCGAGAGACCATGCTGGTCATTTCTGTGTGTCCCTGGTCACCAGTGAATGCCCTGCACAGAGCCTGACACAGACTAAGGGCTCAATGAAAGTTTAATCATCAATGATAGGGACTTCCCTGGTGGTGCAATGGTTAAGAATCTGCCTGCCAATGCAGGGGACACGAGTTCGAGCCCTGGTCCAGGAAGATCCCACATGGCGCAGAGCAACTAAGCCCGTGCGCCACAACTACTGAGCCTGAGCTCTAGAGCCCGCGAGCCACAACTACTGAGCCTGCACGCCACAACTACTGAAGCCCACGCACTCTGGGGCCCGCATGCCGCAACAACAGAGCCTGCGTGTGGCAACTACTGAAGCCCACGCGCCTAGAGCCCGTGCTCTGCAACAAGAGAAGCCACTGCAATGAGAAGCCCACTCACCGCAACAAAGAGTAGCCCCCGCTTGCCGCAACTAGAGAAAGCCCGCACGCAGCAACGAAGACCCAACGCAAACAAAAATGAATAAAATTATTTAAAAAAAGAAATGAAAGAAATAATCAATGATAATAATAATAGTCAGACCAGATTGAAGGAGGTGCTAAGTGTGAGACAGAGGAGCCGCTTTAGGAATAAGAGGCCGGACGGTACTGTTTCTAGCTGTTTGGGGGTATGTCAGGTTTTGACAGAAAGAAAAATGAATAATGGTAGTAACTAAACATGCTAGGTACTCTACATGGATTATTTTATTTAATTGTCCAATGACTGTATGAGATGATATTATCCCCATTTTACAGATAAGAAAACTAGGCTCAGAAGGAGGAAGCTGCCCAAAGGTCACAGGGCTGAGCTATTAACCACTATCCTCCATAGCTTCTCGGTGCCTCTCTTCTGTCCTTACAGAGTTCAGCTCCTAGATTCTGGCGCCTGGCTCTCTCTGCAAGGCTGGCTTATGCAACCTGGACCACACAGCCAGTGCTGGCGCCCCCAGGTGGCCAAAAGAGGCAAAACTGCTGTTTTCACAGTCCCTTCCCCCCACCCTCCCAGATGCAGGTCAGAGGGGAGCAGTCAGAAGAAGAGGCCATATCCACCTGGGAGGACTCCAGAAAATGTGGGGGAAGGCAGAGGAGGTGGATAGGGTCCCACACCACTGGGCACAGTAACAGGGAGGGTCTTAGGCTAGGCCAAGATAGGCAAGCAGGGGTGCCCACTTTGACAGGAGGGGTCAAAAGGGCTGAACGGGAGCTGGGCCCACAGTTGGCAAATAATGAATTGTTATTATTGCTGATTAATAGTCGCTATCTAGCCTCAGGCCTGTGCTATGCATTTTACACACTTGATCTCACTTAAACCTGGTAATCACTCAGTGAGGTAGCAACAATTGCACTTTGTAGTTGAGGAAACCAGGGCTCAGAAAGGTACAATCAATTGTCAGAGAAGGCAGGAGGCAACAGAGATGAGAACAGAACTCTGGTCGATGTAATTGCAGAACTCAGGCTTCTAACTCCACTGCTAAACCCACAAACTCACATTGGCCTGCAAGAGCATTATGGAGGGACTTTCTCCACGGCACTGCAGGGTGGTGGTCTAAGCCCAAAGGGACACCTGGACATCCATAGCTGGGGCCTGGGGAGCGGCTGGCACCCAGCGTGGAGCCCTGCAGAACCTGCTGCTCTCCTTTTCTGCTTCCCCAGGCTTAGGCTCAGCAGGTACCAGCCAGACAGTAGCCATGGCAACGGCTGGCGGTCCAGATACTGCAGAGAAAGTGCTCTGGATCCCCGAGGGTGAGGTCCAAAGCTGGTGGTAATCAGTCATTCCTTCAACAAATATTTATTGAGTGTCTACTACCGGCTAGGCACTGGCCATACTGCAGGGACTAAGACAGAGTAGATGCCCATTCTCTTTTGTGTCATAATACAAAAAGCAATCTTTTTTTTAGTGCTTTCTGTGTGTCAGGTCCTGTGTTAAAACTTTCTGCATATATTATCTCCTTAATGATAACTGTCTCACTACAGCCTTGAGATAGGGCCTATTAGCACCCCTATTTTATAGAGGAGAAAAGTGAGGCTCAGAGAGGTTAAGCAAGTGGTCTGAGGTCACACAGCCAGCGTGATGCAGCCAGGCAAGGAAGCAACTCCAGCCATTTGGGCTTCCGGCCCCATTCCATCCGTCTGCCAGCCCCTGGGGCGTTTTCTGACACTCCTGTGGGCCAAGCCTCTTGGCAAACGGAACCTACTGGCTCCTCCCAGCCTTGCCTGCGTGGAACGACAGAGAGCCCATTCGACAGAGGGAGGCGAGGGAGGCTCGGCGAGCTGAAATGACTGGTCCAAAGTCACCCAGCTGGACAGGGGCAGAAGTGGGATTCAAACCCAGGGACGCCGCGGGCAGCTGGGGATGGAGAGAGCGCTGAGGGGAGGCGCCGGGGCCGCTCACCGATGGTGGTGATGACGGTGATGGCGAAGTAGAAGGAGCCGGCGAACTTCCACTGGCGGCCGGCGCGGTGCGGCTCGGCTTGCCGCGCCAGGCGCTCCAGCTCGCGGTAATCCTCGGTCGAGAAGCCGTACTTCCTCCGCAACTCGCTCCGCTTCTGGGCCAGCAGCCGCTTGCGGCCGCTCTCCGCCTCGGATTCGAGCGCGTCGAAGACGGCGGCGCCCACCAGCAGGTAGGACAGGATGCACAGGATGAGTGCGGCGGTGCGCACGCTCTGCTTCCTCATCGCTGAGCCCTGGGCCCCGCTCGCCGGCCCGGCACCCTGCCCGCCGCCGCCCCGTCCATTCGCCCCGACGGCCGGCCCGCGCCCCACGCGGCAGGAGCCAGGGCTGCTTGCGGCTGGGGTGCGGTACCCAGGGGCGGGGCCTCGGCGGGGCGGGGCGAGGGGGGCGAGGAGGGCCGAGAGGGCTCCTGCAGCTGCCCCTTCCCTGCCGCCTCCCGCACACCTGCCTTTGTTTACCCGGTGGGGCCCCGGGGCTAAGGTGTCTGCAGATAGCGACAGTGGGAGCAAAGCGCCCAAAGCCCAGGTCTGCAGGAGCCCTGTCTCCACCACTATCTCGTCCTGTAACCTTGGGCAAGTCATTCATTTCTCCGTTTGGTCAGTCATCCAACAAATATTTACCAAAGCACCTACTGGTGCAAACAAGATTCCTGGTGTAAATAGACCTGATATCCTAGGATGGAGGGTTGGCTAAAAAGCAAACACACAAAGAGATAATTTAAGAAAAGTGTGAGAAAGAAGGAAAACTTCTTTTCTTGCGGGGGTGGGGGGGATCGCCAGCTAAGGTTGAGGGGAGAAAGCCTCCCTGGGGACGGACTGGGGCGGAAGCATCCAGGCAGCAAGTGCGGGTCCTTTAAGCAGAGAAGCCAGTGTGTCTGGAGCCACAATAATCGGGGTGCTGGGGGAGTCAGGGTGGGAGTGGGGATTGGAAGGAAGACAGAGTCCACTTCGCACAGGGTTTTACAGGCCCTCCCGAAGGTTTATTCTTCAGTACAATGGAAAACCCTAGAGGGACTTCCCTGGAGGTCCAGTGGTTAAGACTCCTCGCTTCCACTGCCAGGGAACTAAGATCCCGCGTGCCACGGGGCGCAGCGGAGAAAAAAAAGAAAAAGAAAACCCTAGAAAGGTTGTAAGCAGGAAAACAAACACCAACAATCTGATTGACATTTAGAAACAAAAGCATTCTGGCTGTCATGTGGGAAAGGGATGGTGGCCCAGAGTGAAGGTCAGTTAGGAGACTTTTTTTTTTGGCCACGCTGCCAGGCATACGGGACCTCAGTTCCTGAGCCAGAGATCTGAACCAGGGCCCCCTGCAGTGGAAGCACGGAGTCTTAACTGCTGGACCGCCCGGGAAGTCCCCAGTTTGGAGCCTCTTGTCGTCCAAATGCGTGCTTAGGGTAGCCTGGAATCAGGGGCATTGCCCTGGAGATGGAGACAAGCGGGTGGATCTGAGATGCTGGGGCCGGGGGTGGAGCCGGGCACACACGGCCACCACATTTCCCAGCCTCCCTCGTGCTTAGGGGTGTCCATGTCACAATGGAATGAGGGCAGAAGTGACCTGTGCCACCTCCAGGCCTGGCCCGTAAAGCCCTCCCACACGCCATGCCCCCACCTGTCTTCCCCAACTGCAGACTGAATGCGGACACCTAGTCTTTAGGAGAGGACAGAGCCACGGGGTGGGAGGAGCTGGGGTGCAATGACACATTGCAAAGGGTCTCCCAAAGGAACACCTAATTTGAACTTCTGTGGCATTAAGCCCCTGACGTCTGGGGTCCATCTGGTACCACAGCTAGCGTTACCCAGATGTGTACAGCAACAGGACTTGCTGAGGGGTTGGGTGTGGAGGGCGAAGGGGAGGACGACTCAAGGATGATCCCGGGGTCCTTGGCCTGAACAGCTGGGCGCTCGGGGCACCTTCCATTGACCTCACTCCCTGAGGAATCTACCCCTGCCTCCCCCAGCACCAAGGTGACAATTCAGAGTCCTGGGTGAGCCTTCCTGGAGAGTCTGGGCAGAGCACAGGCAGCCTCTCCTGCAGCTCTCTGGGACACCCACCTTCCCAGGTCTCCGCTGCAGCCTTGGCATGCATCACTTGTCCCCCTGTGACCATTCCAGCCCCTCGTCCTGCAGCCCCTTTGCATTTTTCTGCTCCAGCTCCATGAAACTTTCAGCTCCTTGTGCAAACTCTTGCTTTGCTTGGAACTGTCCTCTCCCCGGCCCATTCAACAGCCAACATTTATTGAATGCCTGCTAGAGGCTAGGCATTGGTTGAAGCACTTTACATGTATTCATGCATTTAATCCTCACAACCTCCTTATGTGATAGGGGCTGCTGGCTAACGCCCTATTCATCCTTCACCTCTCCCTTAGTTGTACATCTTTCCTGACTCCTAAGGTGTTCCTCCTCTGTGCTCCTCGAAGACTTCCCATGCTCCTGCCATCTCTCATCCCTCCCACTGCTTTGTAATTCTCGTGTTCCATATATGTGTCCCCCTGAGGACAGGGACCCCATCTTGGTCCCCAGCCTGTCCCCAGCAACCGGATCTAGCGCAGAGCACACATCCAGTGATCGTTTGTGGATGAACAAGCAGCAGTATCAGCATGTAGAGCGTGGACTCTGCACCTCCACTGCCTGGGAGCGTATCCTACTTTTGCTTACCAGTCGTGTGAACTTGGGATGCCTCAGTTTCCCCAGTTTAAAATGGGGTTAGGAAAGTTCCTATCTCATAAGGTGCTGTGGTCAGCAGAATAATGGCCTCCCTGAAGATGCCCACATCCTATCCCTGAGACCTATGACTATGTTAGGTTATGTGGCAAAGGGGAATTAAGGTTGCAGATGGAATTAAGTTTGCTAATCGACTGACCTTGAGACGGGAGATTATCCAGATGATCTGGGTGGGCCCAATGCGATCCCAAGCATTCTTATAACTGGAAGAGGGAAGCGGAAGAGGGGGAACCAGAGAGATGCAAGGTGAGAAGGACTTGGCCTGACGTTGCTGCTGGCTTTGAAGATGGAGAAAGGGAGCCACATGCCAAGGACCACAGGTGACTTCTAGAATCTGGAAAAGGCAAGGAAACAAATTCCTGCCTAGAGCCTCCAGAAAGGAACGCAGTTCTCCCAATGCCTTGATTCTAGCCCAGCGTGACCCGTGTAGACCTCCATCCCACAGACCTGGAAGGTAATACGTTTGTGTTGTTCAAGCCGCTAGGTTTGTGATAACTTGTTACAGCAGCAACAGGGCACGACTACAGTGGTTGTGAGGATTAAATAAGCGGGTAAATGTGCAGCCCCGAGAGCATCGTCTGGCCCCGACGACTCATCTAGAAGTGTTAGCCAGTTTTGCAACTATCACAACAGAGCAAAGGCCCAGGTCCACAGGGATGTTAGACTCAGTTCCTGCCCTGACTCAGTTCTCGGGCAGAATTGGGACCCCGTGCCTGTTAAGGGGAGCCTTGCACCCCTTCTTCCCCTGAGAAGCTAGAGGGGGGCAGCTCAGCAGCTCAGAAGCAAGTGTCTGGTGCTACTGCCTCAGCTTTATTTTTAACAATGGTGTCAGCAAGTTTGCTTTTCTGATTCCTGCTCAGACTTCAGAGGAACAGAAACCTGGCCTACAGTCTCAGAGTGGGCCCGGGTGGGGCACCAAGGATCTATAGCCCGAGAAGGGCCTGAGCAGAGCTTATGGGGCCAGTAGGGGTGGAGGGAGCTTGCTCTCAGGGGAAGGGCTGGGTCCACCCCGGGGACAGTTAATGAGTCCTGGTCCTGAGCACAGCTGGGTCAGTGAGGCCTGGGTTTAAATTCCAGCTCATCCACTGTCTACCTGGGTATCTGTGGATAGAAGCCTTCTGCTTCTCTGCACCTTAGTTTTCCCATGTGAGAAATGGGGGTGATGGTCAGGCCCACCTCCTGCATTATAAAAGACACCATATGTCACTTTCCAGGTGCCCAGGAGCCACTTTTCCTCCCTTTTTACAACTGACTGCCTGCTGATGTCAGGAATTCTTTTTCCAGAAGCAGGGCCAAGAGACTGTGGAGCGCTGTCCGCACTAGGAACATTCACAGACATTGCTAAGGGAGCCTCACTCCCCAGTGCAGGAAGCCGGGCTGCAGAGGAGAAGAGACCCCGCTTGCCAAGTCCTCACAGCCAGGCAGCGGCTGAGTCAGAACTTGAACTCAGGGCCGTCTGGCCCCCCAGGGTCACGATCCTTCGCATACACGGTGCCGCCTCATCAGACAAGATGCTGGGGGCTTTATCACCCTCCAGTGGCCTCTCAGATCTCACTTTCCTAATCTCTAAGGTGGGTTTGAGGAGCGCTGGCTTCCCGCTCCCACTGTTGTGAGCATCTCATGAGACGAAGCTGAGAGGTGCTTTGTCAGATGGGTCCGCTGGCGGGGGAGGTATTACTGGGGCCACGAGGAGCTGTCTGGCCCTGCCAGGCAGGTGACTCTGCCCTGTGCTTGGCATTTTCGGTTCCGCAGCTCTATTTTAAGCCAGAGGAGGTTAGAGTTTGTTATGTGTGTTTCTCAGCTTGGAGAACCGTCAGCTGAGCAGTCACCAAAAACAGCGACACCCCAAGGCACTCCCTGAAGCTCTCCCTCCCTCCGCCTCTCCCTCCCTTCTTTTTCCTTCTTTTTTCACTAGGAACCTGAGGGGACCTAGTGATTTTCCTCTGTCCCTTCATGCCAGAGTCGCACCGGGACCTATCAATGAGGCTTGGATCTTCTTCTTCCAGAGCTGCAAGTTTGCCAGCCTTGAGGACAACGAGATAGGTGACTCCAGGCCCTAACTGGGTCCTCTACACCTTTCAAAGCGCTTCACGTCCCTGAGAAGGTCAAGGTCCTTCTGAAAGCTGTAGGAGCCAGCAGGCCTTGTCATTCCCACATCAGGGAGAGAAACAGACTCAGACAGAGAATAAAGGCTGCCATCTAAGGTGCCACATAGTAGGTAGGACAGTGGTTAGGAAAGAACGTGAGTTTCTGAGGGAGCCAGACCTCAGTTCTACCTTGGGCAAGTGGCTTCACCTTTCTGAGCCTCAGTTTCCTCATCTGTGACATGGGGGCAAAAGTATCTGCCTACCAGTGTTCCTGTGAGGATTAAATGAAAGCATGAAGGGGCACTCAGCACAGATTAGGTGCCTAGCAAATGTTAGTGCCCCCTCCACCCAATTAATGTCTTCTTTTCCTTTTCTACACAGCTTATTCCCCAGACCTACTGAGATCTTAAGGGATTGATTTTTATAGTTAGAATATAGTTCAGTAATTTTCCAGAAGGTCAGAAGCCCTGGGCATTTTCGCTGATAAGATCTCTCATCTCTCTTCTAAAAGAATGGATTATTTTGACCTCAGGGGATGATAGGTACCAGCTCCTTCGAGATGGCAGCTGTGGCTTTTCTGTAACTTGAGCACCATTTAGGGATCTGGGTGGCAAGAAATTAAAAGCTGCCTTTTGCTAATTTAAAGAACATTATAGGTAGGATTTGGCAGGGGTGGGGGGGCTCTTCCAGAATCTTCCAGGCACTGGAAGACAAGCTACATGGCTTGGGGGACCCAGAGAGATGGAACCTATTGCCTGGGAAACAGCATAGCCACACCCATGTGTGGGCACCATGGTTCCCAGGCTTGTGAAGATATTACTTGGGGAGGGTAGGGGGGGCGACAAATGACAGCTGTCTGAGCATGACCCTGTCTCTGGCTGTTGGGACCCTCCAGGGCTGCTCTGAGGATTCCTAACACGTGTTTGTGGCCATTTGGTTGGAGCCATTGGGAGTTTGTTCTTCACCTTCCTAAGGATGGATATCTTTAAGTTACTGAAGATACTAAAGCCTTTATTCTGGTTAATAATTTTAAAAACTGATAGAAGTATGGGGGGGGGGGTTATTAAACCATTCTCTCTACTTTGATTTACAATTGAGAATTTCCTCACTGAAAGGCTTTTTTGAAAGAGCCTTTTCTCTCTCTCCATCCCCACCCCCACATTTTCCCTGCTGTTCCTTTGGTCTGAGGATTGGATTGGATTAGAAGGACATTTACTGAGCAGTTACTAGACCCAAGCAGGGAGCTAGGCACTTAGCAGGCATCACCTCATGCAGTCCCCACAACAGCAAACACTTTTATGTCGCTGCGCCTTGCAGCATGCGGGATCTTAGTTCCCTGACCAGGGATCGAACCCATGCCCCCTGCAGTGGAAGCTCAGGGTCCTAACCACTGGACCGCCGGGGAATTCCCAACAGCAGGCACTTTTAATCCCACCTTCCAGAGGACGAAGCCAGGGTGCAAAGGGGTGCGGTGTTTTGCCTCGAGTCACGCTGTTAAGTAGGGAGGGGAGCCGTCCCATCCTGCTCTCAAGCTCTTGCACCTAAAGGCGATGCTTCCCCCACCCTGAGGAGCTGCAAGGGCTTCGGGCACAAGATGGTAGCTGCTGCCACGTGGCCATTCCAGCTCAGCCGTTGCCCCCTCTCCTCCTGCCAATGCCCATCCCTCTCGTTCTCCAGTCAACATAAAGAATTGGAATGAAGGGACATCTGAATCACAGGGGCCAGTGCTTGCATTTCAGAAGACACATCATTGGCTGGAAAGAGTCAAGGCAATGAAATTAAAATGCCTGAGATGCTAAGAAAGGCACACGTTAAAGTAAGGACAGCACAGAACTGTGCTGTCGCATAGGGTGGCCACTGGCCGTGGGTGGCCATTTATACTTCAGATTGAATTTAATTAAAACTTCAGTTCTTCATTTGCACTAGACACATTTCAAGTGTCCATTAAACACATACTACATTGGACAGAGCAGATACAGAACAGCTCCATCACCACAGCAAGTTGCATTGGACGTTGCTGGTACAGAGAGTGAGACTGTAGACTTTCAACTGGACTGGCTGGTTTTGAATCCTGCCTTCACCACCTACCTACTGGTATCCTGGGCCTCAGTTTCATCACCTATAAAATGGGGTTAATAATCCCATAGAATTATTATTACATATCCAGCTCAGTTGGGACCAGTGGTTAGTCAACTAATCAAAGAAGCAGGGAATTATTATTATTATTATTATTTTTTTTTTTTTGCGGTACGCAGGCCTCTCACTGCTGTGGCCTGTCCCGTTGCCGAGCACAGGCTCCGGATGCTCAGGCTCAGCGGCCATGGCTCGCGGGCCCAGCCGCTCCGCGGCATGTGGGATCTTCCCCGACCGGGGCACGAACCCGTGTCCCCTGCATCGGCAGGCGGACTCTCAACCACTGCGCCACCAGGGAAGCCCGCAGGGAATTATTTTAAATGATACACACCTTGAACATATGCCACTCTGTTTTTTGAACGTGGGGCTGTTCATTGGCTTTTTGTGCTGTCCTCCTTACGTGAACTACACCAGAATCTACCTTCTGCTTTCTAGTTTTGGTTTATTTCAAGTGAGGCAAGGATCTGAAGACACTTGTGTAGCAACTTGAGTGCAGAATCCCTCTAGATTCTCATGGTGATTTTTTCCAGATCTTTTGTAGTTGTTTCTTCCACACCTCATTTGGCAGCCTGTTTTAGCAACTCATTTTTATTGTTTTCCTAAAAACAAATCTCTTCCTTTTTGCACTCACATTTCATCAGCTTATGGAATATCTAATTAAATGACACCATGACAATAACAAATGTGCTGGCTCAAACTGGCTTGAGAACAAACCCAACAGATTTTTGGCAAACACCTCATTTGTCTTAGCTTGGGCTTCTCTAACAGAAGACCGTGGACTGGGGGTCTTAAACAGCAAACATTTATTTCTCACAGTTCTGGAGGCTGGAAGCCTGAGATCAGGGTGCCAGTATGGTTGGATTCTTGGCGAAAGCCTTTTTCCTGGTTTACAGACTGCCATCTTTTCACGGTATTCTCACATGGTGGAGAGAAGGAGCAAGCTCTCCTATCTCTTCCTGTGAGGGCACTATCCCATCCATGAGGACTCTACCCTCATGACCTAGTTACCTCCCCAAAGCTCCGCCTCCTAACACCATCACATTGGGGGTTAGGATTTCAACGTATACATTTTGGGGGAGACACAAGCTTTCAGCCCATAACAGCATTCTACTGGAGAGAGCAGAAGGGAGCAAGGGCGCCAGAGAGTGACCTGTGAGCGTTCATTATGCTTGGGGCAGGAGTGTTGCACTCAGGTGGAACGGAGAGCACTGGTTAGCCTGGTGAACTGATTAAACAGACATTATTAAGGAGAGTTTCTTTGCCTCACTAACTCTGTCAGACTGTAGGGTGGAGTTGGCTCTGGAAGACACTTGCCCAGCCAGAGACTACATTTCCCAGCCTCCTTTGCTTCCAAGTATGACCATGGGGCTAGACCCCACCAATGGAGTGTGAGTGGGGGGTGATGTCACTTCCAGGTGGGCGTCTTTAGGAAGCAGGTGAGCTTCTCCATTCCTGCCTGCAATTTAGAGGTAGAAGGCCCGGAGGCCCAGGAGCTGGTGGAGCTGTAACATGTAAGTCACCCGGCTCATCACGTGAAGGAAAGCTGCCCTCCAACCAGGAACACCTGCCTTGGAATATTATGTGAGTAAGAAATAAACCTCTATTGTGTTAAGCCACTGAATTTTGGGGTTTGCTTGTTATAGCAGCTACAAGTGAACCCTGATTAATAAGCTTACCTTATAGGGCAGTTGTGAAAATTAAATTAGATGATATGCATGTAACAGACTCTTAAATGGGACTTTCCTCTTGTCTTGTATTTCCAGTTAACAGTTAAGCCTCAACACAGGGTCGCAAGGTGCTGAATACCCCATATTTCAGAAAGCCATGAGACACACACCAGCAGGACTGTTTTAGGGGCGTCATACCGGCTTTTCTCCCACTCCATCCCCACCCCCCTCAGCCTCCGCGAGCAGAAGACTAGAATTTGAGAATAATTTTCTAGAATAGGGAGAAATGATATACCTTTTCTGCTCTCCTGGGAGAAGAAAGGATCCCACACCCACCCCCATCCCGAGACGTCCCACTTGTAGAGATTTTGGGTTCCTGCCAGAAGTGGTGAGTGGTAGCTGATTCCCCGACCGCTCGTGAGGCAGGCTTGCAGATCCGCCCTCAGTGTGTGTTTGAGCAGAGAAAAAGTGATTAGAGAGAGATGGCAGGAAGGGGGGCGTCCTGTACACCCATCACTTAGCTGAACAAGAATGGGTGAGCTTCCCATGAGCTGAATGGGTGCCGGGCCATCTGACCTGGGCCCTGCCCCAAAGGGATGATCCTTGTGCTTCCCAGGAAAGAGGACCCTGGCAGAAAGAGGCTGTGAAGTGCACTTCTGGGAACAGGGTCTAAGAGAGGTCAAGGGGTCCAGATATCCCCCAGCAGTCAGGAGACCACTACAGGGACCCCTGAATAAGCTAGTCATGTGGTCCAGGAACACTAGCCTTTAAACACTTTCCACACAAAAGGAATCCACCTCCCTGAGGGGACTCAAAGCAACACCAGCTACGTTTTTTCCCCCCTTTCCTCCACTGCTCCTTCCAGGCCTCATAAACAGGAGAAGCTAGAACTCAAATAGGGAGGATGGAAAAGGTTTTTAGAGAGACCCTCACACTCTCTCAGTGCTGCAGAGGAATGTAATGCAGAGACTAAGGGCAAGTTTCCAGAGCCAGACAGCCTGGGTTTGAATTCTGTGTCTCTAACTTACTAGCTGTGTGACCTTGGGCAAGTTACCTCATCTCTCTGGGCCTTAGTATCTGTAAGATGCCATTAATAATAGTACGTACCTCATATCCTCATAGCACTGTAAGGTGCCCGTAGTTAGACTATTTAATAGTTTATTAAATTAAATAACAATGCATTATTGAGGTGAAGGGTCAAGCTTGATTTAGAGGAGGTGTTAAATAGTATATAATTAGATGTTCAATCCATACTGAAAGGCATGGGGCAATGAGAGATTTGACTGGATGTGTTCAAAGGCAATGGGTGAAGAAAAACTAGATCCATTTATGTGTGTCCCTCACCAAATTCAGATTATTCAATAAGCCAGTTACACGTGTGACATATTTGGATCAGTTTGGGACACATTGAAACCCTCAACACATGTTAACTATTATTATTCAAACTTGTGCCAGGTCAGAAATCGAATCCCTTCTAAGTTTTATTAATTTTGACGGATAATAAGAATGACTATTTTTGTGGTGGCATAAAGCAGTGATTCTCATACTTTTTGGTCTTCATAAAACCACCCAACTGCGTAAAATATTTGTGAATCCAAATCACATTGCCAGCTCCATTTGCAAAGTAGAAACAATGGGGAAAAATGAGCAAGTACTATATTTATAATCCTCCTCATTTTATAAAAGAATGAATTTCACAACCCCTCAAATGAGGAAGGTCATAAGTTCAGAGTAAAAGACAGTCTTACAGGTGGAATCCATTTCACTTGATGAGCTTTCACTGTGTTGTCCTTATTTTTAGTACCAGTTCACTGGCTGGAGTTTGAAGACCTCAGATATAAATTCCCATAGAGTTTGCGAGCCTCCAGAGCTGTTATCCCCTTTAATTCTCATGACTCCCCTGTAAGACTGGGACCATGGCCTACTTTTTCTTTTGAGTGTGGAGGTTCAGAGGGGTTAGATGCCTCGTTCAGGGTCACCCAGCTGGAATAAGAAATCAAGCCTGGCTTCAGAATTTCAATATTCCTGGTAAAATACGGTGTTTTCCTCTGGCTTGAATACATGTTGGAGGGGCCTTTCCTGTATGTGGTCATCCAAGCATGAAGTTCCTTTTCTTTTGTGACTCTGTCCTGTCCTAAAGCAGAGATTCTTTTCCCAGAGACAATACCCAAGGATCTGGGGATGAAATTCAGGGATTCCTGAACTTGAAAGGGAAAATAATTGCATCTTTCCACTGACCTTTAGCTAACATCTAGCACTTCAGTTATGAATGGAGAAAACAAAATAGTAGTAGCAGTACCTATTTGTCACCAAAAGAAATCACAGGTATTTTCATATCACAAAGTAATTATTGTGGATATCTTGAAATGCTGTTTATACTCTCGCCACGTTGAAATTATGGTAATTGAATCTCGTTGTTTAATATATTCCTAAAAAAGCACATGTAACAATCTCACATACATTTTTTGTTTTGGTTACCGTATTTCAATAATTTGTGTCCTTTGTAATCCCATGTATTTGATTTTATGTGTTTAATATGACTTGTCTGAGGAGATCATAGACTTTACCAGTTGCCCAAGGAGTCCTAGGTTCGTAAAGAAAGGTGAAGAACAATGTTCTAGAACCTTGAAGTCCTCCATTGTGTCCTCTGCATGTGATCAGCAGACGAGGGCAGAGAACGAGTGTGGAGGATGGTGAGGGGGGTTTATGGTCTGGGTCTGGAGTCAAGCCCATGGCCAGACCTCGGTCACTGTGGCTGGGAGATGTGGTCTCTCTCTGGGTGCCCAGGAGGGGAACAACCAGCCAGCTGCTGCTCCGTTATCATGCGTTTGCAATGGCTCAGACTCAAGGAGGCGCTGAGATCCCTTGTCTCGGCGATTTCTAGGGAGATGGTGGGGTGGCAAGTGCTGGGCACCAGGCACCATCTTGCTTATCTCATCCGCAGGTGCAACAAGTCTACTGTTGCACGGAGGTGGCACTGGGGGCAGCTAAAGCTTCTCCTCTCAGATCTTACTTCTGCTCCAACGTGCTGTCTGCTTTGTGCCCCAAGAACCCACAGTCTACAGGGGGCTGATGAAATTAGGACAAAATGTACATTTTTGCAAATATAACTGTGGCTCTTGCGTGTGCAGAGCGCTAGAGTTTGCTAAGCTCTTTTGTAAGCTGGGTTTATCTCATCCTCACTGCCGCCCTCCAGCAAGGCAGGGCAAAGATGATCATTTCCACTGTGCAGAGTCAGAAACAGCTCACAGGGGAGAATTAGATGCTCAAGGTCACAGACTAGAGGCACAATCAGGGCTAGAACCCAGGCCTCAGTCACCATTCAGCAGACGCGTATTAAATACCTACCATGTACCAGGTCCTGTGCTGGGTTTCAGGGACACAGGGATGAATCAGAAATCTACCTGGCTTCTAGGGAACAAAGCCCAACAGAACGGCCAAGAATAGACAGGTAATTACACTACCGTATACAGTTATATTTGTCAAGACTCTTAGTTCAAGTGACAGGAACCCAATTCAAACTAGTTTCAGTAATAAAGGGAGTTTATTGGTTCACATAACTGAAAAGTTTAGGGAAGGATAGCTTCAGGCGCAGCTGGATCTAGCAGCTTGAACCTAGTTGCCTGCCATCTGTTTCTCTTAATTTCTTGGTTCTGTGTGACTAAAGTTTTCAGCACTTCTCATGGTGGCAAATATAGCCTCCAGCAATTGAAGACTTACCTTCTAATAGTTTGCCCACTTGGGTCAAAAGATGGTACCTCTTTCCCAGTTGTTCCAGAAACAGTGTTGGGGTTTTGCAGGGAATGGCTGAGCCTCTTGCCTCATGTCATCCTGGATGTGGATGAGGTGGGGGTGAGGTGAAGGCATAAGAGCGAAGGAGCCTGAGTCCCTTAATCATTTGTGGAGGAGCCCACCTACCAGAAGCACCTGTTAGGAATGTTACATAACCGACAAACAGACTTTGCGCTTTAGACAGTGAGCAGTGGTGTGCTGGGGGGTGCTGGTGGCAAGAGTGGTCTGCCCCCAGAGGCAGGTGAAAAAGGGGTACACTGTGTTTAAAAACTTTTGAAACAATAATAAATGGGCTAAATGCAATCTGCTTTTTATTATCACCACGGGCCAGCAATTCTAAACATCGTCTGTATTAAAATATTCCTTCCCCAGAACACCACTCCCACCATCAACCCTGACCCTTTGGTATGCCACTGCATTTGGGGCCTACTGACTGCTGGAATCTGGTTTGCCAAGACATACATAAGGGTTTATTTATTTATTTTATTTTTGGCTGCCTTGAGTCTTCGTTGCTGCGCGCGGGCTTTCTCTAGTTGCGGCGAGCGGAGGCTACTCTTCGTTGCAGTGCGTGGGCGTCTCGTTGTGGTGACTTCTCGTTACAGAGCACGGGCTCTAGGCACATGGGCTCCAGGCGTGTGGGCTTCAGTAGTTGTGGCACGTGGGCTTCAGTAGTTGTGGCTCGCGGGCTCTAGAGCGCAGGCTCAGTAGTTGTGGTGCACGGGCTTAGTTGCTCTGCAGCATGTGAGATCTTCCCAGACCAGGGATCAAACCCATGTCCCCTGCACTGGCAGGCAGATTCTTAACCACTGCGCCATCAGGGAAGTCCCCCATAAGGGTTTAAATAGCAATCTGATGGACACCCTTATGTACATACACCACAGTGGTTAAGGAAACATTACAAATATGACGGTTGCCACAAAATTTGGAAATAAGTTTAGATTTCTTTTGGAGATTAAATTCAGACACCTGAGAAATCTGGTTGAGTTGGTGAAAGGACCCAGGGGGACTTCACTTTGTACGGGGGCCACATCAGGACCCTGGACTGTCCGTCTGTCGTAAGAGGTGAGGCAGTGTGGATGCTACCAGGTTCTAAAACCTTGGGCTTTAAGGGGGTGAGAGTGG